TGACATGAGACAAAGTATATGTGAACTGCTGTATGAAAAGTGAATTTACTCTGTAAATCTTCACCCAAATCCTAATTAAAAAAAAAGAAGACAAGCTACAAATGGTGCATTAACTCAAAACAAAGATGGAAAAGACAATCTGCCAAGGGAGATGTCACAAAGAGGCAAGATCCAGATGGACATTACTGAATAAAAACTTGTTTTACAGACTTAGGTGAGCATGTGGAAATGTTTTTAGATTTTATAATATAAAAACAGTACAACCTAATACAGCATCACAGTCTAACTGCAAATCATCATAAAGAACCCTCAGAGCGATACAAGAGGAATTTTCTAGAAGGAAATAAATTAAATCATACCCTTATGATCCTGGCAGCCTCCAAAAGGATTCGGCAACGCTCCATGCCAGATTTTTGACTCCATATTTTAAAGGCAGCCTTTGCATTTTGAACAGCCAAATTCACTTCCTTTTCTCCTGAACATGTGAAAGTAGCTATCACTCGACCTGTGAAGAAGGGGAAAGTTAGTGCTATGTCAAACTGTTGCCATACATTTAAGCACTGAATGTTCAGATTGCATCTTAGTGATTCCCTTCTTACTTTTAAGTATGGCTTTATTTGGTAATCACCCCCATACTAGCAGTTCTTATCTATATTTTGGGTTAATGTTCGTCACAGATGGAATTGTATCTTCCAGAAATATAGGTTAACTTGGCTGGGTCATGAGGCTCAAGTGGTTTGGCAGTTATGTAATATAATTTGGCAGTTATGTAATAATGTAAACATCCCTTATTATGCGATCTGATGTGATTAGCCAATCAGTTCTAAAGGGCTTACAATGGAATGCAACACTCTTATGCAGGTCATAGCCCTGATGCTGATATAAGAGGAGTTTCCCTGGGCTGTGGCCTGCATCACTTTTTATCTTGCAAGAGATAAAAGGAGAGAAAACCAAACAAAAAGAAATGGATCTTAGTACCACCAAGAAAGAAGAGCCAGGAGCACAGCATGTTCTTTGAACCTGGGGTCAGAGTACTTAGAACCTCCTAGACCCAGGGGAAGACTAACGCCAAGAAATATGGAGATCTCCAAGGGCTGCCAGGCCCACAGATATTGAAAGGAGACAAGGACCTTCTCCCAGAATTGAAAGAGAGAGAAAGGCTTCCTCTAGAGCTGGCCCCCTGAATTTAGACTTCTGGCCTTCTAAATTATAAGAGAATAAATTTGTTTCTTAAAGTCATCCACTTGCGGTATTTGTTATAACAGCACTATATACCTAAGACACTGACCCTTTTAAGAATCTAATAAAAACTGCAGCTCTCTTCAGAAAATGTACTATCCACATGATAGAATTACAGAAAACTCACATCCCCTGCCCTAAGTCAACCATGGACTTAGGATTAAGCAATTCTGCCATCCTCTATCATGGGGTTTATAAACAGTGTTGTAGTTAGGTGCCATCAAGTTGATTCTGACTCATAGCGACCCTACGTAAAACAGAAAGAAACACTGCCTGGTCCTGTGCCATCCTCACAATCCTAGCTATGCTTGAGCCCATCACTGCAGCCACTGTGCCAATCCATCGCTTTGAGCGTCTTCCCCTTTTCTCTGACCTTCCATCTTACCAAGCATTATATCCCTCTCCAGAGACTGGTTTTTTCTGACCATATGACCAAAGTAGGTGAGTCTGGCCATTCTCGCCTCCAAGGAGCATTCTGGCTGCACTTCTTCCAGGACAAACCAGTTTGTCCTTCTGGCAGTCCATGGTATTCACAGTATTCTTCCCCAACACCACAGTTCAAAGGCATCAATTCTTCATTGGTCTTCCTTATTCACTGTCCAGCTTTCACATGCATAGGAGGCAAATGCTTGGGTTAGGCACACCTTAGTCTTCAAAGTGAAATCTTTGCTCTTCAACACTTTATTTAATGTTTATTGTGCTTTGGGTGCAAATTTACATAGCAAACTTGTTTTACATTCAACAGTTCGTTCACATCTGATTTTATACCTTTTACCATCCACAATCATAAAAAAACTCTCCTCCCCTCTCCCCTGTGACCACCCTCTCCCTGTGCTCTTTTCATCCATGCATTCCTGTCTGCCTAACTTTCCCTCTATGTGAGTATCACCTACCCCTCTGGTGTCTCATGGCTGACTGATTCAAGGGGTGCATCTCCCTATAGTAGGTGGGTGCATCAACCTGGGGTAGGTGTTCTGTATGTAGGTCTTTCTACTATTGGACTGAGAGCCAATCCATATCACTGAGCTCATTTCTAGGCTTGAAGGGTAACTGGGGACCATAGTCTCAAGGGTTCCACCAGTCTCTCTCTAACCAGCAATTCTGGTCATTTTTGTGTTTTTGAATTTTGTCCCATGTCTTTCCTCCCACTCTATCCAGGATCTGGAGATCTGATCTTTCTGAGCAGCTAGTTTTGGTAGCCGGGCACCAGCTAGTTCTTCTGGTCTCGGGTCATGGAGGCTGAGGTCCTGTGGTTCTTATTTTTGGACTAATTATTTCCAGATGACTTTGATCTTCTTCACTCTTCTTTGCTCCAGACAAAAGGAGACCAATAGTTGCATCTTAAATGGCTGCTCGAAAGCTTTTAAGACCCCAGTTGCTACTCACCAAATTAAGTTGTAGAACAAAATTTTTATGAACTATGTGTGCCAACTGAGCATGATGTCCCCTGAGATTATGGTCCTGCGCTGCCAGGCCTGGTGATTCTTTCTCATAAGATGCTTGGTTGTCTCTGAGAAGTTACTCCAACCCTGTCTTCTGTTGCTTCTGCAATGTATGTGGCTAATTTTGTAGCACAAATGCACATTAAATCTTCAGCCAAATCTATCCTTCGTCTGCTCTTCAACACTTTAAGATGGTCTTTTGCAACAGATTTGCCCAATGTAATAAGACATCTGATTTCTTGACAGCTGCTTCCATGGGTATTGATTGTGGATCCCTGTAAAATGAAATCTTTGACAACTTCAAACATTTCTCTTTTTCTCCATTTATCATGATGATGCTTATTTGTCCAGTTGTGAGGATTTTATTTTATGTTAAGGTGCAATCCACACTGAAGACGATAGTCTTTGATCTTTATCAGTAAGTACTTTAAGTCTCCTTCACTTTCAGCAAGCAATGTTGTGTTCTTTGCATATCTCAGGTTGTTAATGAGTCTTCCTCCAATACTGATGCCATGTTCTTCTTCCTAAAGCCCAGTTTCTTGGATTATTTGCTCAGCATACAGATTGAACAAGGATGGTGAAAGGATACAACCCTGACGCACACCCTTCCTGATTTTAAACCAGGCAGTACTCCCTTGTTCTGTTTGAATAATAGCCTCTTAGTCTATGTACAAGTTCCTCATGAGCACAATTAAATGTTCTAGAATTCCCATTCTTCAAACATTAGCCATAATTTGTTATGATCCACACAGATATCCTTGCAGAGTCAATAAAACAGATAAACAGCTTTCTGGTATTCTCTACTTTTAGCTAAGATCCACCTGACATCAGCAATGATATCCTTCATTCCATATCCTCTTCTGAATCCAGCTTGCATTTCTGGAAGCTTCCAATCAATATACTGCTACAACCGTTTTTTAATTATCTTCAGCAAAATTTTACCTGAGTGTGATATTAATGATGTTGTTGTTGTTGTTATATGCCATCAAGTCGGACCTGACTCATAGCGACCCCTCCTTTGGTTTCCGAGACAGTATCACTACAGAAGTAGATTGCCCAAGCTTCCTTCCGAGGAGTGGCTGATGGGTTTGAACCACCAGCCCTCTGGTTAGCAGTCAAGTGCCTTAGGCACTATACTACCAGAGCTCCTGATATTAATGATAGTGTTCAATAATTTCCACATTCTATTGGATCATGTTTCTTCGGAATGGTCACAAATATCCATCTTTTCCAGTCAGTTGGCCAGGTAGCTGTCTTCCATATTTTTTGGCATAAATGAGAAAGTGCCTCCAGCACTGCATGCATTTGTTGAAACATCTCAATGGGTGTCAATTCCTGAAGCCTTGTTTTTCACCAGTTCCTTCAGTGCAACCTGGACTTCTTCCTTCAATATCATTGGTTATTAATCATATGCTACCTCTTGAAGTAGCTGAATGTTGACCTATTCTTTTTGGTACAGTGACTCTGCGTATTCATCTTCTTTTAATGCTTCCTGCATCATTCAATATTTGCCCCACAGAATCCTTCAATACTGCAATTTAAGGCTTGATTTTTTTTCTTCAGCTCTTTTAGCTTGAGAAATGCTGAGCATGTTCTTCCCTTTTGGTTTTCTAACTCCAGGTCTTTGCACATTTCATTGTAATACTTTGTCTTCTAGAGTTACCCTTTGAAATCTTCTGTTCAACTCTTTTATTTCACCATTTCTTCCTTTCACTTTAGCTATTAATTTCCTACAAATTATTTTGCAGCACTCCTTAACACTGTTAGAGAATCTCAGGGATCTTACAAAATCAAAGTGGAAAGTAATGTCTCCTGCATCATAAACTCTGATTTTATAACCCTTTTCTGTGCTCTCAAAGAAGGGGAAAGGAAAAGACCAAATTCACTGCCATTGAGTTGATTCCAACTCACAGCAACTCCCGCTGGGTTTCCAAGGCTGTAAATATTTATGGAATCAGACTGCCTCATCTTTCTTCCCCAGAGTGGCTGGTGCGTTTAATCCATGGACCTTTTGGTTAGCAGCCAAATGCCTTAACTGCTACACCACCACAGCTTCTTTGTCTATGTTCTATATAACTTAACGTATATATCACATATTATTGATGAATATAGTTAATGAACAGCAATATCAAGATGTCTCTAAAACAAATACATATTTTTCTCAAATATAGAAAAATCCAGTCTCTCTTCTTACTTCAACTTTACCCTATCTCTATTCTGAGGCAAAATATGAAATGATCAGTTTTTCTAGACCCAAATCCCAAGGCCTGTGACTTCTTCTCCCAAGAATTCTTTTATGTCAATTCAGCAGTTCCCTTTCCCCTCCTTCAACAACTCCTGGCACTATGCTTATTCCTAAGAAATTTCACAAAATCTGCAATTACTGCTACAAATCTGAATAGCTAGTTGGTAAAGGCAGTGACTGAAATCATATACAATGCAATTAATTAAGAGAATGGGCAATTTTTCTTTCTACTGCACCATTATTGGAAGGAAAGGAGACTGTTTTCTAACATGTAAAAGAGGAGAGTAATAATCTCTATGGTCCCTTCCTGTTCTGACAAGCTACTGCTCTGTGGTTTAGTGTGGTTAGCCAATAATCAATTGCCCTGTCCCTTGCAATTCAGTTTTATCATTCTGACTGCACGTCATTCTGGTTTACACAAAACTTTTTGTTCCCCACAAATATTCCATAAAACTAGGCAAAACAAATAACTTTTCCTCCTTAACTTTGTGATCTTCTGCGTTGTCAGAGTAAATTCAACGCCTGCCTAACAGTGTGCTCTACAGACAGGGTTCTTTTCCTTCCCGATTCTAATTCATGTACAGAAATATTTGAACACTAGAGAACAGCAACAAAGTCCTCATCCATGCTTATTAGAAATTATCTGTGTGCTCCCCAACATTCTCAACACAAAATGTTTATAGCCCTCCCCTCCCCTCCCCGCGTCCTTCTGAAAGCCTCTCCTATGCATGCAGTTGAAGACATTACAGCAGTGCTGGCTTTACAAATTAATAATTAACAACGGCACAACGTGATGCGCCAGGATCTTGTGGGCTCTCTGTGTTCAGGCCGTTTTGAAATTACCCATCATCCCACCACGCAGCTCACTCCTTTTGCTTTTAACTACTCCCTTCCGGTCCTTGTCCGTATGATGCTTACACAGAATTGTTAGATGCCTAAACATAACACTTTAGAAGCTCTAGTGGTGCAGTGGTTAAAGCATTCTGCTGATAATCAAAAGGTCGGCAGTTCTAACCCACCAGTGGCTCACTGCTTCCGTAAAGATGTACGAAACCCTAGGGAGCTATTCTACTCTGTCCCGTATGGTGGCTGTGAGTCGTAATCGATTCCATAACAGTGAGCTTTTGTTTGGTTCGGTGTTTTTTTGGATTTTGGAAATGGAAAACTATACGGTATATTATCACTTATCCGTGTTCAATAAGTGTTTGCTGAATGCGCTAAACGGAGGTTTAGGGCATTAAAATATGTGCACCGCTGGGCTAAGGGTATCGTAAGCCCGCGTCCCGAGACCCCGACCTCCGCCGCGCCTCCGGGAGAAGGCCCCGGGCCCGCGCCCCAGCCGGGCGCCCCCCCAGCTGCCCCAACCCGGTTACCCGTCGCCGGCTCGAACGCCTTCTCCGTGCCGGAGAAGTCTGCTGGCTCCACGCGGGACCCGCCGCGGTAATTGAGCGGCTGCGACACGACAAAAGTTCCAGTACTCATGGCAGCGACAAGAGGCCTAAAACTGCGGAATAGCGAAGTAGAGTGCTCACACCAGACAGCTCGCAGAAACATTGGGGGCGGCGCAGCACTAGCGGTTGGAGCTGAGGGGCCAATGCGGGGGGCGGGGCCTCACTGGAGCTGCGTGCGGGCGAAGGGCGGAGGCAGGGCGGGGTGAGTGGCGAGGTGGTGCCTCCCTGAAGTGACCCTGGTAGACAAAGGCGGTCCCTCGCTGACTCCGCGATTCTAGTGCACACACGCGAACTGGTACGCGGAGAATCTCCAAGGGACTGGGGAAGAGATGACACGTCCTTCTTCCTGATTAATTTTTGCCTAGTGCTTTACTTTTTGCCTAGCGTTTTCAGAGATATCATAGCATCACACTCTTGATTCCATCGCCCAAAGAAAGCAGAAGATTGGAGTTCTTCGCTTGCCGAGAATATGACTTTGGAGATAACTTACTTCACTCTTGAGCTATCATTTCTTTATCTGTATAATACTACTTTTAAAGGGTGATTGTAAAGACCAAGGGAGGGATATATTCTCAAGTAGGCTCAAGTAGGCATGAGGCATGGTGATGTAAAACTGCTTTTTAAATTCTAAAGGAGTAATGCAAATGCTATTATGACAAGAGTCACAAACAACTCCGATGTAGGAGATGAAAAGCGCACTGTTCCCATGAAAAGGTGTGAGGAATGAAGGCCTTCTGTATTACAAACCTGCCACTCAGAGGTATTCACAAGTGGCTAAAGCACTTGACTGCTAACCAGAAGGCTGGTGGTTCAAACCCACCAGCCACTCCTCGGAAGAAAGGTTGGGCAATCCTACTTCCGTAGTGATACTGCCTTGGAAACCCAAGGAGGGGTCACTATGAGTCGGGTTTGACTCGACGGCACATAACAACAACAACAGTCAGCCAAGGGATCTTACAAGACAACCTTGTTCATTCTTCTTACTGTACTCATGCATGCATGTGCACCAGGGACTCTTAAGAACAGAAAGTAAATGCCAGTTTGGATGTTATTTTCTACAGTCTTGTTTCTCTCCTAGAAGCTGGAGTCTTTCTTAGTGTTTTTTTCCTTAACCTGTTGTTGCTGTTAGTTGCCATTGAGTCCATCTGACCCATGGTGACCCTATGTGTTATAAAGTAGAATTGCTCCATGGGGTTTTTTTTTAGCTGTAATCTTAATGAGCATTTTCTTCCTCATTACTGCTGGTTGGGTTTAAACTGCTTGCCATTTAGCATTGCTGTTCCCATCTAAAGACCAAAACCTACAAATCTCAGTAGTATTTAGAGGGTTAACAAATTGGTATCAAACCAAAAACCCAAACTCATTGCCATCAAGTCAATTCAGACTCATAGCGACCCCCAAGGAAGTAAATCTTTACAGAAGTAGATTGCCCCTTCGTCCTTCCACAGAACAGCTGGTGAGTTTGAACCGCCAACCTTTTGGTTAGCAGTCAAGTGCCTTAGGCACTGAGCCACCAGAGCTCCCTAACAAATCAGTATACTCGCTGCCATGGAGTCAGATCCAACTCATAGCTACCCCTCCTTGGGTTTCTGAGGCAGTATCACTACAGAAGTAGATTTCCCAACCTTCCTTCCAAGGAGTAGCTGGTGGGTTTGAACCACCAGCCTTCTGGTTAGCTGCGAAGTGCCACTAGAGCTCCTACAAATTGCTATAGAATGCTGGAAAACTTAACCGGGACAGTATTTCTACTGTAAACCTTAGGGAATGTGATTTTTCAGGTTTAGAGAAACAAACTGTTCTGCTTAAGTTTTCCAGCACTCTATACCAATTTGTTAGGCGCTCTCGTGGCATAGTGGGTAAGGAACTTGACTGCTAACTGCAAGGTCAGTGGTTCAGACCCCCCAGCTACTCTATGAAAGGAAGATCTACTTCCATAAAGATTTACAGCCTCCAAAGCCCAATGGTGGTCACTATGAGTCAGAAATGATTCAATGGTCATAAGTTTGATTTGGTTTTTATACCAATTTGTTAACCCTCTAAATGCTTCTGAGATTTGTAGGTTTTGATCTTCAAATGGAAACAGCAGTGCTAACATAACACTGGGTCAAGTTCAAAAGTACTACTTCTATTATTGTTGGCCTTCAGCAACAGAAATTTAGCTGGAGTTGATGAAGCATTGTAGATTTCTAGAAGAACTAGATCACAGATGATCATTTATGTGTACAAAGACCATACATCTAAAGTTTTATGAAACAATCCCTATTTAAAATAGTCTAATCCCAACAAATGCATTTTCACTCATCAGATCATGACTCCTAATACTTGTTTTGGAAATATAGTCATAACATTTGACCATATTTCATAGATTTAAAAAAGACAAGCCTTCGAGACTTCTAGTAAGATAGAGGAACAGGCAGACAAGCAACACAGACCCTCTTCAAGAATGAAAAGAAAAGCCAATTGACAGAGATACAGAAGATAAACCTGGAGCCCTGAGCTTTGAAAGGAACTATACAAAAGTGGATTAGGCACCAACTACTGGAAAAACCTGAATGAAAACAGTGAGTACAGAGACGGTCAGAACCGCGGACTGTCAGCTACTCTGACAGGACTAACAGCCTGAAAATTTCCAAGTGGTGTTGGGAATTAAGAATTGACTTAGGGATCAGCCCTGTTCACCAAGGGCTGCCGGGACTACTATGCTGATGGCCTATGACTAGGAAGGCAAACAGCAAGGAAGGAGACAACCTAAGCTGTTGACTTTTCACTGTCTAGAGGGTGCAGCCATTTTGATTGCTTACACGCAGCAGCCATTCTGGATATTTAAAGTGTCCAAGGGTGTGGCCATTTTGAATGTTTATAAGTGGCAGCCATTTTGGGTATTTAAAGTGAATGAGGGTGCAGACATTTTTAATGTTTATAAGCACAGGCCATTTTGGATAGTTAAAGTGAATGAGGATGCAGCCATTTTGAATATTTACAAGCAGTGGCCATTTTGAATATTTAAAGTGACCGAGGGCACAGCCATTTTGAATCTTTATAAGGGGCAACCATTTTGGATTTTAAAGTGATAGCATTCTTATTCGGATTCCAGGGACCTAAGAATAGGCTCTGTTTGACAAGGTCGGCAGGGGCATACGAGAAGCTGACAACAGGAAAGGAGACAGGTGGAGAGTGTATAAGTGCTGTCAACTAGCGAATAGAGGAGCACAGTACCCTGCTTGTGTAGATAACATACAAAGAAAACAAAAATTGTGGGCAAGTCACTCCAACATACAATCACCAATTAAATATATACACAAAAATGTCACAATGCCTCAGAGACAACAGAGCATCACAGTCCACACAAAGAAGCAAGATAAAGCAGGAGAAACAAGGGACCAGGATACAGACCCAAAACACAACCCTGAGGAAGACGCAGCATTGGAACTCCCTGATAAGGAATTCAAAAGAATTATATTTAGGTATCTGCAACAAAGATACCTAAATATAATTCTTTTGAATTCCTTATCAGGGACAGATCGAGGAAAACACAGAGAAAACCCTAGAACAATTTCAAAAGACAATTCAAGAACAAAATGACAAAATAAATGAAAAATCAGAAATTATACAAAATCTACAAATAGAAATCCAGAAGATTAATACTAAATTTTCAGAAATAGATAAGATATTGAATGGGCAAAAGGGATTGAATCAATGGAAGACAGAATTAGGGAGACTGAAGGCAAATACTTGAACATGTCTATGGAAAGGGAATAATCAGAAAAAAGATCAAAACAAAATGAAGAAAGGCTAAGGTTCATGTGGGATACCTTCAAAAGGAATGACCTACGTGTAATTGGAATTCCAGAACAGGTAGAGACAAAAAAAACCACAGAGAAAATTGTTGAAGATATGTTGGAAGAGAATTTTCCTGGTATGATGAAAGATGAGAATATAACCATTCAGGAAGTCCAACAAACCTCAAACAGGATAGACTCCAAAAGAAAATCAGCCAGACATATCACCATCAAACTTATCAAAACCAAAGACAAAGAAATAATCATGAGAGCAGCACAGGAAAAATGAAAAGTTACCTACAAGGGGCAACCAATAAGACTAAGCTCAGATTTCTCGACAGAAACCATGCAGGGAGAAGGCAATGGGATGGTATATATAAAACACTGAAGGAGAAAAATTTCCAACCACGAATTATGTACCCAGCAAAATTCTCCCTCAAATATGATGGTGAAATTAGGGCATTTCCAGATAAGCAGAAACTAAGGGAATTTGTTAAAACCAGACCAACCTTACAAGAGATGTTAAAGGGCATCCTATGGACAGAGAGCAACAACAGCCAACAACAACTGACCATTAACACATATGATGACATAACCCAGAAACCAACCCAGCTATGGAAGTATCCAAAGTAAAGAAGCTTACAAGATTGTAAACAGGGAACCAGAGACATCAATTGACAAAGGAGGACAACTACAAACCAAAAAGAGGGAAAAAACTGTGTCATTATAGAACTTCTAAATGGTAGGGAAGTCAAGACAACTACAAGATAGAACAGACTGTTCTAAACTTGGGAAGAAAACTATATAAATCAGAATAACCTCAAAGAAAAATGATAAACCTGCACATCAAAAAAGAGGACCAGCATAAATATTCAGCAGATACTAAAATAGTAATGAAAGAAGTGATAACATGATTCATAAACAAAACAAGCTCAGCATAGAAAATTATATGGAACAAAGAAATCAACACCACAAAAAAGCACATAACAAAAATGACAGCAACAAAT